TTTTGTCCTTCAAAATGCAGGACTTTGCATGAAATAGTTCTGCACAAAAAGTGTGAAAATAATTTTTCGCGCTAACTAAATAAGCCGTACTATCAACTGGTGTAAAATGAATATTCTATCAGCAAGAATCCCCCCTTTCACTGAAAATCAAATGGCCCACTAAGGCTATTAAAGAGGTAGGGCCAATTTCCCCTGAATTTTTTTCACAGAAGGGCCAATTTCAAAAAGTGCTGAAAGAATAAAATTTACGATAAAAACATGAAATAAAAATGTTTTTTGGTCAGTATCTCGATTTTTATGTATTATGTTATGACTGGAAAATAGTTAATTTAACCTCCAAAAAAGGATGAAAGTCAAATATGCGGAACTTACCGTGTTTTTAGGTTGGAAAAATAGGGAATCTCCCTAGAAGGACACTTCAAACCAAAACAAAGTTATGTTTTTTGTTGTTGTAATTTATACAACTTTTCCCCTCAAAAATGAAATTGGTTTAGTGTGTCCTTAATACCTAAAAAAACCAACTTTTTTAATAAAAAGTGGAACATCACTAAATTTTACCTATATAGATGCTTAATATCGACTATGTTTTCAAGAGTCGCCGTGGCTCCATCGGTAGCGCTTAAAACTGTAAATAATGGATTGTTTTTAAGATGGGGTTCAAATCTCACGCTAATTTTTCTGATTTTTTATGTTGAAATATTAAAATGTTATGTTTCTATCACATTTTTTCGGATGTTTGTTTAATTCAAAGAGTCACACTGAAGTAGGTGCTTGTACATAACCAATAACACGAGAATTGATTATATAGCAATGCAACCCAAATGTTGTGTGTGTTATACACATAACGAAAAAAGGCCATAGAAGAAAAATTTCAAAACAACAAAATTTTTTTTTATAAATCTTGAACAAGAACGTTTTAAAAAATGGTATGATATGTAACAAATGCAGACAGTAATTTTATCGCCAATCCACCAACTGTGTAGATACTAGTACTGGCATTGTTACATTGTCCCTACACCGGAACCTAAGTCACCAGAAAGTGAAAAAACACCACAGAAAAAACCAATTACACTACCAATCGTGACTGTAGGTAAAACATCAAGAAAGTGTTGAATCTGTATCACAACATCGGGTCGATCCATTTGGAACAATGCCATGCAGAAAAGACCAGATTGCGTGTGTTTGTTACGCAAGCCGTTCTATTACCAACTGGTGTAAGCTGTTGTCCGGTTCATATAGACGGTAAACCTTAAAAGCTGGAACAGTGTATAGATATAGATACATCCAGATTGAGGAAAACAACATCCCAGTTAAATGCGTCCGATATTTTTTGGCTTCTTGGCATTAAAACAGAGACCGATCTTGAATCAGATTAGCTGATTTATATCAGATATTAATTAGATTATTAAATGTTTCTTGTATTTATATTTAACCCCCTTTTTTATGCGCCACTTAGGGGCATTCAGTTTTTCGGTCTGTGCGTCCGTTCGTTCGTGTGTCCGTCCGTCCCTTCGTTCGTCCGTCTGTTCGTTCGTCCGTCTGTCCCGTTTCAGGTTAAAGTTTTTGGTCAAGGTAGTTTTTGATGAAGTGTAAGTCCAACCAACTTGAAACTTAGTACACATGATCCCTATGATATGATCTTTCTCATTTTAATGCTAAATTACAGTTTTTATCCCAATTTCATGGTTCACTGAACATAGAAAATGATAGTACGAGTGGGGCATCCGTTTACTATGGACACATTCTTGTTTAATATTTTGTTAGTTTTAAGTTAAACAAAGCCGTGAAATACATGTACGCTACAAATCACCTACTAACATCAACACGCTAACTGATGCACCATGTTTTTTTTAATACAAAACTAATTTTGAATATCTATTAGTTGATAATTCATATTTTACTGCTCCTCAGGGGCATTTACAAACAAAATCAGTATTGGTTTTGATAAACAAAAAAAATCAATAGTCTTGGCCTTGATTATTGTAGGAATACCTGTTGAAGGTATGAAAATAGATGATGTGACGTGTTTTCATATACTATAATTAGTATCTATCGGGCTATTTAAAAACATGATTTACCTAGCTAATCAAATGAAAAAAACTCACGGGAAATTGGCCCTACCTCTTTTATCATATGTTTAACTGAGCATTCTTTTAGTTTTTGTCATATAAATAGGTTAATAACTTAATTCATATTATTACTATAATAATTCTTATTCAATATATGTAACGTCTTTAAATGTTCATAATAAAATACACGTTCTTAATATCTAGTGTGATGTACACTTAACCCACACAAGGCCTACATTGACTTTACACCCCAGTTCTATTGTTATACTTCACAGTTTCTATTTCTGAAACAAGTGTAAATTGAATACATCTATTGTTACGAATAAAAATGGATTTTGACCACAGGGTGTGACGAGCGGGGTTTCTTGAAACCCCTGCTTCTACATCCCATAAACACAGTTCATTGCTATTCATAACAATAGAAATTGATTTTTTAATAAATAGCATGAACATAAGAAATTATAAATAGCTAGTGTTCACTACAAGTTGTTTCAAGATATTAAGAAAACACATCTATTAGCATACAACTGGTGTAAACTTAGCGGAACTTTTTATATCACGGGCATTGTTTAGAAAATACCAGCTACATAGTTGTTGGTACCAACACCATATTGTATACTCGCATTGAGTGCAAACAAAAAAATAATCTCTTTAGGGTTAACAAAAAAACTTGAAAATTATTATTTTCCGGTTCGCCCCAAAGCACACATCTTACTAGAAAGAAGACTCTTCTACTCGAAAAAAATATTTAGCATCTATTTTGAATAAAAACAAATCCTTTAAATACTCCTTTGCTTGAAGGTAGAATTTTTGATCCCAGTCATATATCTCTTAAAAAAACGGGGATTCTAACTCACGGACACCCCCCCACCCCTTGATTGCCCCCAAAAAGGGAGTTCCTTAATATTCAATTTGTATTTTTGTATGTTGTCGGGTTTCTAATCCAGACACACCTATCCCTCAGTATGTCCGAACATGAATGTTTGTTATAATTATTCTTGGGAAGAGGGGGGGGGGGGGGGGGGGGTCTTTTTTTTCAAACCGTAACATATACAATTTTATGATTACCTTCAATAAACTGATACAGATAAGTACTTTGGGTTCTAATATAGCCTTTATCTTTAGTCTCTTCTACCAAATCCAACGCTTGACTCAAAATGTCGTCCGTCTTATACCCGTCCATATTGACAACTGCATACAAGGAGCTATGCATTTGTTTTGTAATAAGAATCACGAAACGGTCAACCTTGACCTGCTGATCCATATTAGCACATGGATTTAACGGGAATATGCAAAACAGCAACTTTGACATTTGTAAAATCTACTCACTTGTCAGTTTGAACGATGATAGCCAAAGTAAGATTACTAGTGGGATTTCATGTAAAACAAAACAAAAATTCTTATAAATCATGGTTTCATTTAATAATCAATGTTAACAAATATAGGGTTTAGCACCGGGTGTAAGTTAGTTATACACACTCCGGCCGTCGTGGTTTCTTATCCAGACACACCTATCCCTCGGTGTATAACTATTACATCGACTGCATGTAGTCAAAACCTGTTTTAAACTACATGTAAACATTGATGTGTATCAATGGGAACGTAGTAAAGTAAATTTTAAGTGTTGAGTACACTTACACCACACAACACCAAGTTTAGCTCAATGTGAACACGGCCTAAGACTGTTTAAAGGAACCGACACGTTATGCATTTTGTTTTATTTCTAAGGATTGAAATAGGACAATCGTCCACTCCAATACTAAGTTGCTTTTTATGACTTTTATTACAGACTATCTCATTGTATCTTTCATAACATAATCTTAGAAACATACATACTATTATATGTTATTTCTTTACTTCAAGAAAGTTCATAATCAGAGGAAAGAGAGACTATATATGTTTTTGTAAATTACATTACGTTTGTCTTTTATGTGGAGGCAAATAAAATGGTATTGTATACCTGTTCATGTACAATGATACATTTTGTATTTCTTATGTTATTGTTATGTATACTGATTGACAAATAATTAGTCACACTCCATTGATGTGTGTTTATGCTTTTGTCACCTAATGTTAGGCTTGACCACATCTTGTTGATAAAGTTTTATAATGAACAATGAAAATAGAACTGTATAATTTCCACGAAGTATATTATTGCGATCATATGAGAACTTTCAAGATTATCTACAAAAATCATTCTAAAGCAATCTGTTTGGTCATGATATACCGGTATAGAGAGATTGAGAGGAAAACACCTTCTAGTTTTAAATATCGTTATAGGCAGTTTCTTAAAAGTATCAACTGTGGTATTTAATATAACTGTAGGAAAAACACCTGTGAATAAGTCGTCGTGTGAACTAATATTTGTTTTACGAATCGACCTGGGAACTTTGAAATATATTTAGATGACAATAATTGTAACGATTCATCAGGGGAAATACTTGGAATTATAAACTGGAAATTCATTTGTAAGTGACTTGATTAAGTAAGTGGTTATCCCGTTTGTCATCTGGATGGTAAACGTTATATGGTCCATAGAGACCAAGAGGAGTTTTGTGCATACTTCTCATTGACTTTACTAACCACATGTCGTGCCTTAAACGTGTATGCTGTTTGAATAATGTGTTGCTTGGAGTTGTTCGTCATTGTTGATAAGTCTTTTATTGGGGAATTGCGTAGTAGTTTTGTATGGTGTTATTAAATTGTTGTTCTTTCCGATATTTTTAAAATTCATATTATCCTTTTATCTACCACATAAAAATTGTACCAATGTTTATGCAGAGCTATAATGCCAATGTTTATTTTAACAACAACTTTGAACATGTATCGTATTAATGTAAAGAAAAACCCTATGAAATAAACAAAAACAAAAAACAAAAAAAACACACAGGCATTCATGTATGTTGACTGTCAAATATAGTTTTAACTTACCAACACAGACTCCATTCTTCTTGTAAAAATTGTTGCAACAGTTCCCTAGGATAACATTCATGTAAAGACCATTTCGATAAATTCTGAAAAAAAAACATAGACGAGTTCTTGGGAAAAGAAATTTGACATAAAAAATGTGTACTGAAATAATCAAACTAATATAACATATTAATACAAGGCAAAAAATTATATGAGCCATGGTCTTGTCGAAAATGAGGGTAAATATATCCTTTTGGATAAACCTTATCCATGTCTAATATATATAGTATTTCTTAAAATGGACGTTTGAAGTAAAATAAGTCAATACGACAAGTCAACGACAATAAAAAGACATCACAAATGACTTTCCAGAATAACAGTGTCAGGATTATATTATGTCATTCAACAACACTACCATTATTTGTATAGTTTAAGACTTGAAGCTTGATAAATTTGCAATTTCAGTGGTCATATGTTTTTTGTTTTGTTTAACATATTCCTTTGGATTTCAATTTCATTTTGTGATTGCTGGATAGTTATATGAATGAACATATTGTTACTAGTTGAATATGAAATTCAAATAAACAGACTTTTGTAAGTTCCAACTTTCTGGTTGTCTTGCGAACAAAATAATTTCTTCATTAGCACACAAAGTACATACACACATTCAAAGCTTCGATTTCCATAAGCTATAGCCTCCGATGTAGGATTAAAACTATCATTGTAACTATGACATTTTCATGCTTAGGTAGTTGTTCGGAGATATTATAATACATGTATTTGGTAGCATATTATTGTTATCAGACGTTGGCGTACTGTGGAAGATAGGCGAAGGATACCAAGGGACATTCAAACTCATAAGTCGAAAATAAACTGACAACGCCATGACTAAAAAAGAAAAAGACAAACAGACAAACAAAAGTACACAAAACAACATAGAAAACCAAAGACTGAGCAACACGAACCCTACCCTTGTGGCTATTACTTAGTATTGTTAACGTTATGTTCATAATGCCGGTATCATCTAGCGAAGTATTATTCGCGGAATTTTATTTTTATTGTCGAACTTATAGTATTGTCCAAAATCGGTTATGCACATTAAGGTAGATGGGGTGTCTAAATTATAATCCATAGAATTTTTTAATAATTTGCCAAAATGTAGTTTATATCATGCTTTTTTAAAAAAAATAATAAAAAGAATGGGTCACGGGGCTTATTTTCACGCTACAGGTTGTGCAAAATTGACAGACTTTGTATAGATTATGCATGGAAAACCCAATTTTCTGCCATAAAACGAAAACTACACCATAGAATTTTGAGATAAAATATGAGAAGATAGCTCAAATAATATGCTTTCAGATAAGAAAAAGAAAAAATGGGGTCACGGGACCCGTTTTCTTGCTACATAATAAAATAGGTAAATTCCTAACACATTCTATTGTAAAAGTAACTTTATCTGAATTATCTGCCCTTACATTTGAGTTGCCTCCCCTTATGTGGCAAAGTTGGAAAAAATTGAATCAAACAAAAGTATTCTGTTTTTTGTAAAATACAACCATAAATATGATAAAACATGTCACTTTCTATATTGAAATGAAAATTCTTACACATGAATTACCTACTAATTTCAAAGTTTGCACATTTTCTTAAAGATCTAGACCGATTGTTTTCTGGTATTTCAAAATCCAAGATGGAGGAAGACACCCTATATACCTTAAGTTATGCTATCGGAAATATATTACGGAATATAATTAATGCCATTGACTGAAATGAATAGGAGTTATTCAATAACATCATGTATCGACCATTTATCTTCGGGTTGGAAAAAGGGTGAAGGGGTTGGGGTGGTCAGAACAAACACTTATTTTGCTTTATACAATACAAACTGATTTCCTATAAAAAAAAATACAGGAGGAAGAAGCTTCTTTTAAACTTAATATTTTTGAAGAAATTTTGATTCAAACACTTTATTTATCAAATAAAAACATGCCTATATGTAAATTGAAAGGAATGGGTGGTGTTTTGGTGCCAAATGGAAGACATATTCTGGAATAATTTTTCTATTGGAATAAATGTCAAAGTATGTATTCCTGCCGAAAAAAAGGTATACAGTATAAGTTCCAATAAGAAAAGTTACTATAGATTAAGGCGACAATAGTTTACGGATGTTTGAATCTTTAAACTCGATTAGCAAGGTGACAAACAAAAAATAAACCTAGGGATTTGTATGAACTTGAAAAGACCTACACTGGGTGCTTAGGTAGGATAAGCGTCTACTGCTTTACATTATAGAAAGGTTTGCAACACAGTTTCCATCAGAATGAAATACATTTTGTATATTGAAATCATTGACGTTCGAAAATGGAAGACTACACTTCGTTGTAAAAAAATTGAAACAAACACTATTTCCGACTAATATGAAGAGCTCAAGCAGCTTTTTGAGCACATTGAAAACGTGAATTACGGACTATTAAAATTTATGAAAACTAGAACACCAAACAAAACCTTTAATAACAATCTAGTCTATGGTGCAATGAAATACTGCTGTGTTAATGGCACAAAGTCCACAAACCTTCATAATTACATGTACATTAATCTTCGTATTTATCTTGTACATTTTGTAACTATATACACTTACGAATGACGGCACGCATTTGAGATGACAAGCAGGAAGAAATTAACATTGTCTCCAAAAACCATAGACACCGGGACGAAAGTACTGTACATTTGTTCATTATCATGCAAATACAAGAATAGAAAACAATCTATTCATATCGTTAAGTCACAAGTATTTGTGTAAATTTTGTTTTTTTCTATTTATGTTTCTGTAATGTTAAGAACTTCACCCTCTTTAACGTGATAGCAAAGATTAATCACATAACCGCAATTAGAGTGATCAAAATTATTTTTGAATAACCTTTGCCCATCCTATATTATAATGGCAAGAACACATTTGTATTTTATGGGGAAATTGTACATAATTATTGGAATGATGAAAATGGGAAAGGAGCGAGTATGATTAGATAATAGAAATTTATTGTTTGGCAATTATATTGTTAGAGCTTTAAAACAAAAGATACAATAGTGTTGAATCAAGAAAGCGACGATAATACCTGGAGTTGTTTTCCGTTGATTGAATTTATAATGGATGTGAGATTTTTCTTCCATTATTTTATTGTGTTTTTGTTTATTTCTGGGAGTAATTGAAGATAACATACCTGCCGTATCCATAACAAACTCCAGGAGTATGAGTTGTTGTTTGTGCAGTACTGACTCCGTAAGAGGGAGTTTTTGCATGTATAGTACTGAAAATAAAAAACACAATATAGACTAAAATCCATGCCATATTTTCATGACCATTTATCATCAATGTAAACTCTACTCAAGGAAATAATAATAAAAAAGGGTCAAATGTGTTTTGTGTGAAAATCAGGAAATATTTATACAGAATATTATGTTTTTTAGAAGTCAAATACTTCCCGTCATTGTACTTTTCTATTAATGTCATAATAACAGTTTCGAATACAGAATGCTGGTCTGGTGCATTCACATAAATAAAAGTAATATCAATCAGTAGGATTACAACGGATTGAGTATAAGATCAAAAGAAAGACCTTGTATTACGTGTATTCCAAAATAAAATGTTCTATAAGCAATACAAATAATTTCTTCATAATTTTATACACTGTGATAATTACGTATAAATTATCAGACATTCGGCACATTGTTTTTTAATCTCGAAGCAAATTTGCGTTTTGGTTCTGGTTCTAGGCTTTTTTTTTGTGAATTTTCACATTGGTTGCTCAATTATAAGTTAACTATAGATCTTTACGTTCTGTCCTTACATGACAACGTCGCTGATAAGTCTTCTATCTTGGGTTTATCAAATTTACGTTTAATATCGTAGCAGATATTATAGCCACTAAGTCCTAGAAATTCGTTTCAAATTAAGCCAAACAATGTTAGATTTGCCAAATTTGCTAACATTGTGTTCCCTCAGCAGGATTTGATCCCTGCTTCTGTGACATTTTAATGGCAAAGCCGGGAAAGAAATGCAGTCAGCTCCATTTTGAAATATGACTTTTGCTGGAAAATATCAATGGCATTCCCTCGGAACGCACCTTACACACTACGAAAAAACCCCGGTGTCATTCGATTAATTCAAATAAGTACAGCTATTTGTTTGTGAGTACCAGCTGTCATCCTTAGGGCACTCGAGGGAACAACATACCTTCTTGTGGGTTCAAATAAGGAAAACTATGAAGGGAGTATAATTATTAAGTCGAAGAAAAAACGGCTACACCATTGCAAACAAAGTTGAAAAACGACAAAATGATAAACGACAGTCTGAAAAGCACTACACAGATAAGTAGAATGAGCAAGTTGATCGCCCAAAACCCTGGGGTTGATCTAATATGCTCCGGGAAAATAAGCAGTTCCTGATCATGATATGTCATCCTTCGTGTTGTTCATGTTAAGTACGGAATCGGGTGAAAATCATCGCATATTATATATCGTGTAGAAAAAATAAAGCCAATTTATGAGTACAGGAAATTATATCTTCTTTTTACAACAAACTTTGTTGTGGTAAAGAAAATCCTTTTTTGACCGCATTCTACGAGAGCAGAATAAGGCATGCAAGACTCTTTTTATCCGTACAGGATATTTTTTATGGGAACAAAATAATCTTTGTGTGGGAACAGGATATTATCTCGAGGGAACAATATACTATGTTGCGGGAACAAGACGACATCTTGTTGGAAAAAGACAACCATCTTGGGGTTACAGGATATTATCAAATTGAAACAAGAAACCTTCTTGTGGTAACAATATACTATCGAATGAAACAATATTCTATGTTGTGGAAACAAGACAACCATATTGTGGGTACAGGATATTATCATATGGAAACAAGAAAACCTTTTTGTGGAAACAATATGCCACGTGTGGGAAGAAGAAAACAATCTTGTTCGAATAACATACTCAACATGTGGTACCATGATATTCGCTTGTGGGAACAAAATACCCTGTTGTGGCAACGAGCTTGCATGGCCCCATTATGCAACCATACTTTCATTTATAATTTGTTTAAGTTGAAATAGACTATTTAATTTTTTAATATTCAAATTTCACTTATTTTTTTATTTTGATTATATGAATTAAAATTATACATAGTGAAATGACAATTTTTCTAACACCAACTAACAAAAAGAAAAAAAATAGTTTGCTGATAAAACAAATACAACTACAAATATTTACCGAAATAATGAGAAGGTAAAAATGTTGGCTTTTTAGAAATTAACCCCTTTTCAGTGTTTTAAGATCTCCAAGAAAAGAAAATATTCAACCTTAAACATTGTATTTGCATTTCCTCTTGTCCAGGTCCCTCTACATATTATATTCAAAGGATTTTTTAATAGAAGAAATAACAAGGCATAGGCAATGCTGCATATAATCAGCTACATGTCATTACGACGACAAGCTTTTTAAAACAGCTACATGTTTATAGTGTAAACCTCAATTATCAGTTGCATAAAAAGGTGAAAAATGTGTCGGATCAATGAACTATGGTCGTTACAGGTAAACACACCTACATATTTAAGCAAGACTTATTTTACTTGGTAAGTTTTTTGTTTGTTTGTTTTTTTTTGTATTTGATATGTTCGTATTAAAGGGGTACAGTATTGCTTACAATTGCAACCAATTAAAAAGTGAATCAATATAATTGACCTGTTGTATTTTTATTTTTTGCATAGATGCGAAAGAATGTTTGAAGTTGGAAAATGTGACAATTTTAACCATATTTATATTGTGAGTTTGGAATATATAGAATATTTTTAGACGCTCAAGCTTTATTGTTTAAAACGATGATCACTTCGAAAGAAGGGATTTAAAAAATGCAAAACAAATGTAGTTGGAAACTAACATACGTCCCAACTTGTTCCTTTATAATAAAATATGTAGTGGGTTTCACAAGTTTCATCTATAAATAAAGTAGTATTAGAGGTTTCTCAACATCTTACGAACGAACGAAAATTGACCTAACTTGACGTAACTTGCCTTAACGAAAAAAGAGGGAGCAGTAATTTATTCAATAATTTTTTACTATCGGTTGTGATCTTCTTCCCCTTGAAACTTCTTTTACATAAAAAATATATACATTTTGGAATTTGTAAGACCATTTTTAGTCGTAATGATATACAATTTACGGTTTAATCAAAACAGTTGTAAATCTAATTGATCAATAAATTATAGCGCAAACATGAGCTAAAACTAATCTACGCGTGAACGCCTCTAGTTTTTATAATTTGAAAAAAAAACATCCTCGGATCCGAGGTAACTTCGTTGCCCCAACTCTAAAATCCAAATGATCACTTCTTGACCTTAAATGATTATAACTGATTTATATTCTAGCTAAACTGATAAAGTCAAGAAGATAACTAAAGGGAAACATTGAAGTAAATATTTGAAAAAAAGCAAAAAAACAGTTAACACTTTAAAAAGATGTTCTGTAATGTATTTATGTTTATTGGTTTGTTTTCTTTTCATTGCAGCTCTTATTTTCTTTGTTAGTATATATAATTATTTTGTGGGTTTTTTTTTTTTTGCTTTCGTGGAGTTTATATGGAATGCTGTATATGTTTTTCTTCGGTTTTTATTATAGAATTTACAGAAAATGTACCATTAAAAAACTATGTAACTATCAGTTTTGTTAGTGTTGTAGCACTCATACTTTCAACAAGAATACACAAAACTCTATAACTTTACGATTGATCGAGTGCACCTTTATATTTCTGTAACTTATTCCCAAAAATGATTTAACAGCAAGTCGGACCAATTGGACCTAGTGCACATTGAGACTATCCTGTTGAGTGCTTTATTCTAGGAGACAGAATTTACCCAAACTCACTCTCCTTTATTCGTTCCATATTTATAAAGAATGTGTGAATACAGTGGCGGATCCAGAACTTTTCATAAGGGGGGCCCGCTGACTGACCTACGAGGGGGCACCCTCCAGTCATGCTACAGTGATTCCCTATATAATCAACAAATTTTTCCCACAAAAGGTGGCCCCCCCCACCCCTGGATCCGCCTATGCAAGGTTAAATAAATGAAAAATACTAAACTCGTGTCATATCATGATCAATCACTTTTCAATCCTTTTACAAACGCTAATCTCGTCGTGACAAGCATGGAATACTTGCAACAGAACGCTAAACACCCAACCATCAATCAAGTGAAATGCAAACAAGACGCGGGGATTTTTTTAACTGCATTACAAACTGACAATGTTCTGTTTAAATGGACAAGGGAGATAAATCGAACGCATATATTCGACATGTAAACAAACGAAACCCAACGTAAGAATACGTAACATTCAACAAAAGAAAATAAATTGGAACACCGATGTTTAACCGCAAAAATAAAATGCAAGGTGGCAAAAAGACTATGCAACTGTTAACTGTTGTCTTTAAACACACTGCACTATCGGTAGACATTTATCGTGGATTTTATTATAACAAAATTACTGCTCCTTAACGATACGTTCGTAGAGTTTCGTCCGTTCGTAAGATGTTGAGAAACCTCTATTACGCAACTAGTTTGTTAGAGACATAAACAGGTTTTTTTACATTGCCGTTTTGTTAAAAGACCACTTATTTGAGAGCATATTATTTATTACAAAATAAAAAGGTAGGGCCAGTTTTCCATAAATTAATATCACACTGAAGGCTTTTTTAAATGAGAACAAGGACATTGTTAGAACTGCACGATTTCCGTATTTGAAGATTAAATAAATCACACTTTTAGAATATTATTTGTGATTTCAAGCATGGCTTGTATCATATACTACATGTAATCAATCTAATTTGAATAACGATTTATTTCCCCCTTATTTTCACTTATCACAACTTCAAAATGAATCCAATGTTATTTATTTATGATGAAGAATACATACTTTTAAATTTTATTAACTTTGGATTAATTTTTTTCACAATTGTAGCAAAAGTACCCAAATTAAAGCCTCAATTTTCTCGAAAATTAGCACTTTAACCTCTATTTTATTAAGGTATTTTTCATAACAACTTGGCTAGACCTACAACATATTTCAATAATATAAAAATGACAATACAACATGAAAGTTTGTAAATAAAAAGATCGACGAAATAAATATCTCCGATATTGAATGTAGCATAACAAAATGTCAGGTAGTTCATATAGAAATTTTTGATTGGATTGTTGTTGCTTGTACGTTCAGTGCCAATCTGTCAAACATATTCATACTGTGCCATCAACATGATCAGCAAGATATAAGATTTACAAATACATTTTTTTGTAAATCAAATTCGGAAATTGTCAATCGACTCCTTAAGGTAGTTCAGGGGTATAGGAAAAAAAATGACAGAATTTTCTTATACTTTGTGGACTTAGACTTTGAAGCATGGTTATTGAAAAAATGCAAAAAAAAAATGGGGGTCACCGGCCATCAAAGAGATTTTTTGACCTCTGAAAATGAGTGCAAATAGGTTTCTCAATGGATATATAGGGAAAATGGACATAAAACCTCTTTGATTGAATTTTTACAGCAAAAAAAATTTCAGAAGTTGCTCATTTTTTCATACTGAAAAGCTTGATGTCTCTATTTTATGAAATTGTAATAAAATTTGGGGGTTACCGGCCACCCAAGAGATTTTTGACCTCTGAAAATGAGTGCAAAAAGGCTAAATATAGGGAAAATGGACATAAAACCTCTTTGATTGAATTTTCACAGCAAACAAAATGACAGAAGTTGCTCATTTTTTCATACTGAAAAGCTTGATGTCTCTATTTTATGACATTGGAATAAAATTTGGGGGTCACCGGTTGGTTGGGGGTCACCGGCCATCCAAGAGATTTTTTGACCTCTGAAAATGAGTGCAAAAAGGCTAAATATAGGGAAAATGGACATAAAACCTCTTTGATTGAGTTTTCACAGCAAACAAAATGACAGAAGTTGCTCATTTTTTCATACTGAAAAGCTTGATGTCACTATTTTATAAAATTGGAATAAAATTTGGGGGTCACCGGCCATCCAAGAGATTTTTTGACCTCTGACTTACCATGGAAACAGACTAAAAGTAACAGTTCAGAAAAAAAGCAATTTTTATGAATGGAGAAGTTTGATATCAACATATCTTTAAAAATTTCCAAGGGAATTTAATAAAATTTGGAAGGGTAATTAGGTACTATTTGCAAAAACAAAAGTTTATTTTAGGGGTTTCCCATGGTAAAACAGGGACTAAGCCATTACTCTATTTCAAATGTCATCAACATGTCGCTTTCAATTTCCATTTGTTAGAATTAATTAAAACTTCAAAGGATTATTTTAAGTATCATTTGTAGATATATAATACAAATAGCATATAGAATTTTTTTGTTACCAAACTGACTTGTGGTCAATTATGGTAAAACAAGGACTAAGCTATTTATGTGTACTCTATATGTCTCCTTTCTGAGGAGTAACACCATGCGATATGGTGTAAATAAGACATTTCGTACATGAAACAGGCATAGATTAGTGTTAGCATTTGCGTATCCAGTTTAGTAGCTAGGCTGTGATGGTTCTAACTACCAGATGGTTAACTACCTTCCAATTCTGTTTTTTGTATGTGTAGGGAGGGGGGCACTTTAATCATTTTTAGTAGGGATAAGCAGACGCAATATCAAGTTCCTGCTATTTTGATATATTTTGAATATTTAATTCAAAATAGAGCCTCCCACAAATTTTAAGATACAAGCCAAAAACTGCATTTTACCCCCTATGTTCTATTTTTAGCCATGGCGGCCATGTTATTTGACGAAACAAAAATAAAACACAAACGTTCTTCTAGATACCCAAAGGATCATTCAGCTTAAGTTTGGTTGGAATTGGTTCAGTAGTTTCAGAGGAGAAGATGTTTGAAATAGTTTACACCGGACGGACGACGACGACGGACGCTTAGTGATGGTAAAAGCTCACACTTCCTTCGGAACGGTGAGCTAAAAATGAACTACCAGTACCCAAAAAAAATCCCCCCCCCCCTTTCGAGTAATTACCCCCAAACTCAATCCCAGCCTTCCCTTTGTGGTATGGAACCTTGTAGTACAATTTTAGAGAGATCCATACACTCAAACACAAGTTATTGTCTGGAACTAGAAAAATGCTTGATTTTGGCCCCTTTTTGCCACTAATTCCTGAACGTTTGGGGGAATTACCCCCAAACCCAATCCCAGCTTTCCTTTGTGATATTGAACCTTGTGGTACAATTTCAGAGAAATCTATACACTTACACACAAGTTATTTCAGGAAACTACAACAATGCTTGTTTTTGGCCCTTTTTTCCTAAACTGTTGATACCATAACCCCAAAAATCAATCCCAACCTTCCTTTTGAGGTATTGAACCTTCTGTTAAAATTTCATAGAGATCCATTCACTAAAACTAAAGTTATTGTCCGGAAACCAAATGTGTTTTCGGACAACGCTGACGCGGACGACGACATCATAGCAATATACAACGCAAAAAATGTTTTTGTGGTCGTATAAAAACCTTTGCCATAGACATATGTGCATCAGTAATATCTCAGATGTTAAATTCTCCAAAA